AGCCACGTTGGTTAGCAGCTACCAGGCTGGAAATTGCAATTCTAGAGTCTAGAATGGGGTTCAGCCAACTCTTTCTGTGAAAGACCATACGGTCGGTAGATCAGGCTTGGGAAGCCACGTGTGTGCCACAGCTGGTCCACTTGCTGTGGTGATGTCACAGCGGCCCTAGACAATAGTAAATGAGCAGGCGCAGCTGCGTGCCCCGCTGCCACTCAATTTACAGAAGGAGGCAGCACGCCACATGTGGCTCCTGGACCCCTGGTCTGGAAGAGTATGGTCACTTCTGCTCCATTAACCAGCACAGGAAGGTAGGCTTCAGAACACAGATGTAGTGAGGCCCGTGTTTCTGCGAAAATGCCTCGTGGCCCCTTGTCACCTGCCACCCCGCTTCATGTCCCCTCATCTGACAGGCTTCCCACACTGGATGCATCATTAGGAAGAAAGGTATTTCTTGTTTATTTGTTGTTGGCAAAATTACAGCAGGCTCACTTCAACAGCCAACAAGGAGTCGCGTGGAACTAATTTCCTAATACAGCACGAGCACAGAAAAGTAACCGGGAAGACCTGGAAATGGGGCCTCACGGCGCATACTGTTGCTTCTCCTAAAACACAGCCTTTGCACTTTGATCTCAGTTTCCTTTCTGCCTTTAGAGTTTTGAATTTTCGTGAAGTTTTCGTTTGAATTCCGGTTAGTCACCGTGCAGCGTAACGTTCTCAGGCGTACAGAGTAGTGATTCACACTGCACACACCACCTGCTGCCCATCACAGCTGCGTCCTTTTCCCTGTCGCCTGTTCCCCATCCCCCCCCCCCCGTGACCAGCCGTGTGTTCTCTAGTTAGTAGTCTGTTTCGTAGTTTGCCTCTCCCTCTCTCTCTCTCTCTCTCTCTCTCTCTCTCTCTGCCTTTGTTCATTTTTTTGTTTTCTTAAATTCCACATGAGTGAAGTCATCTGGTATTTGTCTTTTTCTGACCGACTCACCTTTTTAGCATAATACTCCCTAGATCTATCCGTGTGGTTGCAAAGGGCAAGATCTCGTTCTTTTTTATGGCTGAATAATATCCCGTTGCACAGATGCCACATCTTCTGTGTCTGTTCATCAGTCAGTGGACACTGGGGCTGCTTTACAGCTTGGCCGTTGTTGATTGCGCTGCTATAACATGGGGGGCATGTGCCCCTTTGAATTAGTGTTCTTGTGCAATTACTGAATCGTAGAGTAAGTTCTATTTTTAATTTTTGAGGAAACTCCGTAGTGTTTTCCAGAGTGGCTGCCCCAGTTTGCATTCCCACCAACAGTGCGTGAGAGTTCCCCTTTCTCTATCCTCGCCAACACTGGCTGTTTCTTGTGTTGTTCATTTTAGCTGTTCTGTGAGGTGGTACCTCGTTGTAGTTTTGATGTGTAATTTCCCTGATGATCAGTGATGACGAGCACTTTGTCACGAGTCTGTTGGCATCTGGATGTCGTCCTTGGAGAAGTGCCTGTTCATGTCTTTTGCCCCTTTTTTAATTGGATTGTTTGGTTTTTAGGTGTTCAGTTGTATATGGTTTTTTTAATATGTTTTGGATATTAACCCTTTATCAGATATGTCATTTGCAAATATCTTCTCCCATTCCAAAGGCTGCCTTTTAGTTTTGTTGATTGTTTCCTTCACCATTTAGAAGCTTTTTATTTTGATATAGTCTCAGTAGTTTATTTATTTCCATGGACTCAGGAGACATATCTAGGAAAAAGTTGCTACAGACAGCCAATGTCAAAGAAGTTACTGCCTGTGTGCCTGTGTTCTACTGTAGGATTTTTAGGTCTTTAATCCATTTTGAGTTTATTTTTATGCATAGTGTAAGGAAGTGGTCCAGTTTCCCCAGCACCATTTGTTGAAGCATCTTTTTCACACTGGATATTTTCTTCTGCTTCGTCAAGGATTAATTGACCATATAATCGTGGGTTCATTTCTGGGTTCTCTCTTTCGTTCTATTGATCTGCGTGTCTGTTTTTGTGCCAATCCCATACTGCTGTGATCACTATAGCTTCGTAATACAGCTCGAGGTCCAGAATTGTGATGCCTCCAGCTTTGTTTTGGTTTTTCAAGATGGCTTTGGTTATTCGCGGTCTTTTGTGGTTCCATACAAATTTTAGGATTGTTTGTTCTAGCTCTGTGAAAAATACTGTTGGTATCTTGATAGGATTGCATTAACTGTGTAGATTGCTGGGGCCCCTGGCTGGCTCGGTCAGTGGAGTGTGCGACTCTTGATCTCGGGGTTGTGAGTTTGAGCCCTATGTTGGGTCTCAAGAATACTTAACAAAATCTTCAATCTGTAGATTGGTTTGGGTAGTATGGACATTTCAACAATATTTGTTCTTTCAATCCATGAGCATGGAATGTCTTTGCATTTCTTTGTGTCCTTTTCAGTTTTTTTCGTTAATGTTTTATAGTTTTCAGATACAGGTCTTTTTCTACCTTCTTGGTTAGGTTTATTCCTGGGTGTCTTAGTATTTTGGTGCAATTGTAAATGGGATTGTTTTCTTAATTTCTCTTTCTGCCGTTTCATTATTGGTGTATAGAAACGCAGCACATTCCTATACATTGAGTTTGTATCCTGCAACTTTACTGAATTCATGTATCAGTTCCAGCAGGGGTTTTTTTTGGTGGTGTCTTTCCAGCTTCCCATATATAGTATCATGTCATCTGCAAATAGTGAAAATTTTACTTCTTCTTTACTAATCTGGATACCTTTTATTCCTTTGTGTTGTCTGATTGCTGAGGCTAGAACTTCCGGTACCGTGTTGAACAACAGTGGTGAGGGTGGACGTCCTTGTCTAGGTCCTGACCTTGGGGAAAAGCTCTCGGTTTTTTTCACATGGAGTATGATGTTCCCTGGGGTTTTCATATATGGCCTTTATTATGTTGTGGTTTGTTCCTTCTATTTCCACTTTGTTGAGGGTTTTTATCACGAATGGATGTTATACTTTGTCCAAAGTTTTTTCTGCATCTATTGAAATGATCATGTGGTTCTTATCTGTCCTTTTATTAATGGAATGTATCACATTGATTGATTTTTGAATATTGAACCATGCTTGCAGCCCGGGAATCCTTCCTACTTGATTGTGGTGAGTTTTTTAATGTACTGTTAGATTTGGTTTGCTAATATTCTGTTGAGGACTTTTGCACCTGTGTTCATGAGGGATACTGGCCTATAGTTCTCTTTTTTTTGTGGTATCACGGTGGTACTGGCTTCACAGAATGAATTTGGAAGTTTTCCTTCCTCTTCTACTTTCGGAATAGTTTGAGAACAGAGTTTAAAATTTTTAAGATCAGACTTCTAATCAGAATCTTTGAACCTGTTTTTGTGGAAATTAACAAAGTTACTCTAAGATCACATGGAAATACGGAGGACCTAGGGCAGCCAGAACGTTGACAACGGAGAGCAAAGTTGAAAGGCTAACGCTTCCTTTTCCAGAACAATCTGCAGAGTGAGAGCACAGAACTCCAGACTGCATGGGGCCAACCCACAGGTGGGGGGGGGGGGAACAGGGCCGGGGTCACGTGTCCACAAGTAGACACCCACGCATGTGGACGGCTGATCTTTGACAGGTTCCGCGACAATTTGGCAGAGAAAGGATGGTCTTTCAGCATTGGTGCTGGAAGAATTGGATTTGCACATAATTGGGTATGAATTTGGGTCCATTCCTCCTATGATTTTCAAAAATTAACCTGAATTGCATCCTGGACCTAAATGTAACACCTAAGCCTGTAAACCTCTGTGAGCGGGGCTGGGGCGTTCTCTCGCATGTCGTGGGGAAGCGTCGTGGGCAGAAGGGGAGGCGACGAAGTGGGCTTCACCAGAACGACGACCTGTGCTCCGTGGAAGACATTGTTGACAGAGTGAAGCAACAGCCACAGACGGAAAAGATTTGCAAATTACAGATTGAAGGGCTGCATTCAGAATACAGAAACAATGCTCAGAACTCGATGATACAAGAACAGATTTTTTTAGTGGGCAGATTTTATAGAGCGCCTCATCACGGAAGATACAAACAACCTCGCGAGAAGCTGCGCCACGTCCTTAGGAAGCAATGGGGAACCACAGCAGGCTCCACACACGCTCTAAGTGGCTGTCGTTGAGCACTGGCCCCCCACACGCCCAGGGGGCAGGATGCGAAGCGGCGCGGCCACTTTGGAAGGGGTGAGGCCACTGCCCGTTCGGTGGAGTATTGTCGTGGAAGCGGCCGCTGCGTCCACGCAACCTTCTTGGCCACAGCCAGCCCGGGAAGCAGCCCGAGGTCCCAGCAGGTGACGGACAGGCAGAGGGATGAAGGCACAGGGTCACACGGATGCGGGAAGGGGGCCAGGAGCTGGCGAAGCCGGTGTGAGCCGCACGGTCCCGCTTAGAGACAGCCTGTGTACAGCGACGGGAAGCGGAGTGGGGAGCCCGGGAGCACCACAGGGGTGCTGGAAGCTTTGGGGCGACGGGTAGCTGCATCCTGCTTGCAGCGCTGGTGCGGAGGTGTATCCGTGTGTCAGAACACATCGGGTTAGGCACGCGGTGCACTTGGTTGTGTGTCAGACCTCGGTCGCCATACAAAACTTTTTTTTTTTTTTTTTAATTTTTTTTTTCAACATTTATTTATTTTTTTGGGACAGAGAGAGAGCATGAACGGGGGAGGGGCAGAGAGAGAGGGAGACACAGAATCGGAAACAGGCTCCAGGCTCTGAGCCATCAGCCCAGAGCCCGACGCGGGGCTCGAACTCACGGACCGCGAGATCGTGACCTGGCTGAAGTCGGACGCTTAACCGACTGCGCCACCCAGGCGCCCCCAAAACTTTTAAGCCAAGTGAGGCCACGCGGCTCCATCTCCATCCTCAGAGTCAGCCTGCGTTTTTAAGATCTCGAAATGAAATGGGACTTGCAGGCGCACCTCAAACAAGGGATGTGTGACAAATGACCTTCCCTAGGAGTCGTGAGACGTGCTTTGTGAATTGCAGTTTGTGTTTTTCACCTGCAGACAACCGCCCCGGGTTGGGCTGTCGGGAGCTCGTCTTCAGAAACCTCTCCAAGATCCTTCCCGCCATCTGTCATGACGTCACTGACTGGGTCGCGGGGACCAGGGTGAAGGCCGCGCAGCTGCTGGCCGTGCTGCTGCTGCACGCTGAGGACCACGTCACACAGCACCTGGAGGTTGTCCTGCGAACCCTGCACCGGGCCTGTGCCGACGACGACAGGGCCGTGGTCCGCAGCGTGAGTTGCCTCTTCCGGTCACGGAAGCTGTGGCTACGGGTTGTGGACTTCGCCCTGGTTAGGCCGCGGGTCTGTGGGTTTTACCAAACGGGAGGGCCAAGATAACGTTCGCATCGCCTGAGATCCCCTGGGGTCTCGGCAGCCGTGCCCTCGCTCACAGCCCCTGCACAGCCCATGTCTGGTTTCTGGTCCCGCGGAGGGGGGACACGTAGGGTCCCTCTTCAGCAGGCTCCAGCCTGCCGCTCCCCACAGCTGCGCTCCCAGCACGTGCAGGCGACGGCTCTGGATGCATCGATCCCACCAGCGAGCCGGGGACACCGCCCACGGGCTTGTTCCTGAGAGTCTAGCTTGGGCAGGAGGGCGCCTCCCTGGCCCTGATGGCCGTCACGCCCACGGGCTCTGCAGGGAAAGCCAGGCAGGGGTGCGGCCCGGCGTGTGACGGCTGGTGGTTAGCGCCACCCCGTGTGCAGCCAGTCGAGCCTCAGGTTTACTTCCCTTGTCCTGATTGGCCCACCTTGCCAAGCCACAGCCCACGTGGACCTCACTTCGGACGTATGTGGGCCTGCAACAGTGACCTGACAGTCTGGTGGTCGTCCCATTCTGTCACCAGGGGATACTGTGTAGATGGGATCGTGCAGTGTGCCCTTTAGAGGTCGGCTTTTTTCACTCCTCCCGATGCCCTAGGGCCCGCTGTCCTGACTGCCCAGTGGCACCCATGGCACGGTGGTGCCAGCGAGTGGCTGTTTGTTCGAAGCAAGCTTGGGTCACCGGCAGCAGCCAAGGGGTGTGGGACCCGGTGGGCACTAACTGTGGCACACACGCCAGGCACAGACCTCCCTGTCCGTGCTGGGCCTGGAGGCCTGCAGGGAGCCGCGGGAGGGCCGGGAGCAGCCCGCCAGCGGCTCTTCTCCTCGCACAGGGCATCCGATCTGCCGAGCTGGTCGGGGCGTTCGTCAGCCCGGAGGTGTTTCTGAAGCTGGTTCTGCCCGCGCTGAAGAAGTCGCCCTCCCCCTCGGGCCTCCTGATTCTTGCGTCCATCGTCAGAGGCTGCCCTAGGGAGGCCCTCCGGCCGCACCTGACGCTCATCGCTACGGAGCTGGCCCGGCCCCACATCTGTCAAGGCTCTGAAAATGTAAGTTGTAGGAAGGGAGGCGGGTGGAGCGCGTCGTGAGGGGTGGACAGCGCCCCCTGCCGACACTGTCCACGCATCGCCGCGGAAGGCTATTAGATCCGGTCCGGGAAGCAGTGCCGCGGATGGTTATAACGTCGCGGCTGGTTATAACGTCACGGCCGGGATGCATCCCCGGAGATGGTTATGACGTCAGGTTCCAGGACGCACCGCCGGGGATGGTTTCTGCGTCAGTTCCCGGATATACTGCCGCGGATGGTTATGATGTCAGGTTCCAGACGCAGTGCTGCGCATGGTTATGACGTCAGGGGCCGGATGTACTGCTGCGGATGGTTATTGCGTCAGACCTTAGAACACACCGCCCAGAGTACTACGTCGGGGCCGGACGCACCGCTGCGGATGGTTATCATGTGAGGTGCGGAGACGCACCGCCGCGGATGGTTATAACCTTAGGGACGGGCGCACCCCCGCGGATGGTTATCAGACGACGTCCCAGCACGCACCGCCGCGGATGGTTCCTGCGTCGGGTCCCGGATGCACTGCTGCGGATGGTTCTGATGTCAGGACCGAGATGCAGCGCCTCAGGTGGTTATTGCGTTAAGTCCCAGCACAGACCGCCGCGGCTAGTTATTACGTCAGGTCTCGGGCGCACTGCCGCGGATGGTTATTATGTCAGGGGCCGGATGTACTGTCGCAGATGGTTGTTGCGTAAGGTCTCAGCACACACCATCGCAGACGGTTGTTGCGTCAGGGCCGGAAGCACCGCTGTGGGTGGTTATCATGTGAGGTTCCGGCTCGCACGCCGCGGATGGCCATGACGTCAGGTACGGACGCATCCCCGCGGATGGTTATCAGATAGGTCCCAACACGCATCGCCGCGCAGATCGTTATGATGTCAGGTTCCGGATGTACTGCCACGAATGGTGATAGCCGGAACGGACGCACCGCCGCGGATGGTTATCAGATGATTGCTCAGCACGCACCGCCGCGGATGGTTATGACGTCAAGGCCGGACGTACCGCCGCGGATGGTTGTCAATTGAGGTCTCGGCATGCACCACCACGGGTGGTTATTGCGTCAGGTGCCGTCACGCATCCCTATGGATGGTTATCAGATGAGGTACCGGACACACCGCCGCGGATGGTTATCAGATGAGGTCCCAGCACGCATCGCCGCGGGTGGTTATGACGTCAGGTCCCGGATGTACTGCCACGAATGGTTATAGCCGGGCCGGACGCACCGCCGCAGATTGTTATCAGATGAGTTCCCGGCATGCACTGCTGCGGATGGTTATGACGTCAGGTTCCAGCCGTCAGACGCTTCCGCCTGACAGTGGCAGCCAGGGTCTGGGGACTCTTGTGCCCACTGCCACGTTCCGCTCTGTCCAGTCCGTATCCTGTTACGGTAAAACTAAACACGTTGGGGGGTACGTGGGTGGCTCGGTTGGTCGGGCGGCTGACTTCGGCCCAGGTCACGATCTCAAGGTTCGTGGGCTCAGGCCCCACGTCAGGCTCTGTGCTGACGGCTCGGAGCCTGGATCCTGCCATGGATTCTGCGTCTCCCTCTCTTTCCCACCTCCCCCATTTGCACTCTTCCTCGTTTTCTTGAAAATAAACGTTTTTAAAAAGACATGTTGAAAGTGCACGCTGGCCTCCTCCCGTCTGCCCAGCGGCCTCTGTGGGGGGCAGCACGGAGCGGGACACGTCCACGCCGGGGACGGCCGCGGGGCCGGGCCCGTCCCTAGGAGCCGGGGCGTTGCTCGCGTCCCTGGATGTTTTACTAACGCGCTGGGAAGCGGTGACGGCGTCCGCCCCCTCTGCTCCCGACGCGGTCTGGGCACTCGGGCCTAGCCGTGTGGAATGATTCGTAATCGTTTTCCGTTGAGAAAAAATGAGGACTTTGTGTGCGGCGGTGACAGGCTTCAGCCCTGTGTCCCCAGCCCTGGGTGCTGCCTTCCCTCTCCTCTGTGTGGACAAGGGCCTGCCCGCCGCTGACCGGCCTGGGGACCCCGCTCGGGGCACTCGGGGGGGGGGGGGTTGGGGCCCGGCCTCGCCTTCCGCACGGCCACCAGGGTGCTCTGCGCGGGCTCATCTGGTCCTCGCGGCCCCTTCCCCACCTCGCTCCCAGGTGACAAGGTGGTCTGGGCTCGGACAAACATCCACGTGCAAGGCCGTCTAAACGGAGGGAGTGGGGCTGTGTCGGCGGAGGTGGCCGTGAGCCGCTCCACCTGCTTTTGGTGCTTCTAGGACGATTCACCTCTTCCCAAACCTGGTTGTCACAGAGTCAGCGAATCCCCGTGAATTGTGCACGTGTATGCAGGCGGGCCTGGAAATGGTTCTGACTTCTCTATAGATGTGTGAGCCAGAAGTTTTTCTCTTCCCAGAAAATTAAGTTTGAGAAGGAGCATAGATGTTTATTTCTGTTTTTCGTTAGCGTTTTATTTATTTGTTTTGAGAGCGAGAAAGAGGGCGTGCATGAGCGAGGGGCGGAGAGAGGGTACAGAGCCCAGTGCGGGGCTCGGGGTCACGACCTCGAGACCGGAGTCGAAGTCGGACCCTCAACCGACCCAGCCCCCCAGGCGCCCCCGCACAGGTGTTCGAACACAGATCTTCCACGTTTTACGGCAGAGAAGATAATGACTTTCACGCCTCAGTGTCATCCACGGGAAAACCAGTCCCTTAACCAACGCGGATTGGATCAAGCGTCCAGCTTTTTCGAGGAGGCGTTTCTGCAATGACGTTTGTACACAGATGCCTCGCCGAGGAAGCGCCGTGGCGCTGAGTGTCCCTCTGGACGCGCTCCAGCCGCAGGGGAGACCCAGCCACCTTCCTCCCCTTCACTCACGGACACAGCCCTGTCGCCCCCACCCCCAGGCGGGGAGGGTCTCGTGCTCCTATGGTGACCCAGGACACACGGCACGTGCTTCCCGCAGACGTCCCCAGGCGGCTGTTTCCCGAGAGCCAGCCGAGGGGTGGACACAATCGTGTCCGTCCAGCAGTGGGGCCTGGCGGGGGGGGTGAGTTGGGGGACCCGCGGCAGGTGCGTGGTCTGGCCAGGGCCGGGCCCGGGCCCAGGGATCGGATCCTTCCGTTTGAAATGTTTGCTTTGTGACAGGAGCTCGAGGTGAGGAAATTGTCTGATGGCGTAAGGAGAAGTCAGCGGTCCCGTTGAACCAGCGGAGACCCGGGTGCGGGGGCGCCGGCACCATTACCGAAACGTCAGCCCCGGGCACTTTCTCACAGTAAAGTCAGCGGTCTCAGGTGACACCTTCAGGAGCAGAGGCTAAAACATGACTTTGGGTGTCCGTGTGCGGCCTGCGTCCTTTCTGCCTCTGGGGGGCAGGTAGGTGGGGACCGTTCCCCGCCGACGGCGCTGCTGGGAACGTGACTCCTCACTGGCACGGGAGTCGCGGCCTCGGGACCTCCCAGAATGGAACAGCTCGCGCCTCCAGAAGGGAGCTTCCTCCTCCCGGAATCGCTCCCGAAGCATTTGGTCCAGGTCACTTCAGAAGTTAGCTGAGGGCGGCCTGTGGGGCTCGGTCGGGTAGATGCCCAACTCTTGATTTCGGCTCAGGTTCAGGGGGTCGAGCCCCGAGTCAGGCTCTGCGCAACAGCACAGAACCTGCTTGGGATTCTCGCTCGCTCGCTCTCTCGCTCTCTCTGCCCCTCCCGTCTCGCACGCGCTGTCTCTCGCTGTCTCCCTTGGTAAATATTTACAACGAAAAAGAAATTCGCTGAACTCACGTACTCGGGAACTCATTTACTCTCAGTCCAGGACCAGAGGAATTGGGCTGTAGGGCACGTGAGGATTTGAGCAAAGTCACCCACCTGGCTTCTCGGGGTAGCTGGACACCCAGCCCTCAAGGCCTCGTCCTGTCCTGCTCCCGAGCCGCGTGCACAGACCACACTCCTCTGTGATCCCGTGTGAGTTCTGTTTAAACTTTGGTGGCTTACGTCACTTGTGCATGAGCCCCAGGGCCCCAGAAGGGACTCTGGACCCACCCCCGCCAGCGGCACGGTGAGCACGCTTCCCGTGTTCTGTGCGCTGCTCCGTGACCGCGACCCCGTCCTTCCTGCCCCTCGTGAAATGCGTGAAGCAGACGTGTGGAGGGATGCACTAGAAGCACACGTGGACACTCGCTCCTGGCCCACAGATGACGAGGCTGGGAGGCCAGGAGGGGAGCGGCTGGACGGACCAGCCGAGGCATCCCCTTGTCTCCCCGGCCACCAGGAAGCACTTCCCGAGCCACAGAATTTCATTCTTTTTGTTAAAACGGTAGCGTGGGAAGACTCGGAAACACACAGCAGCAGAAGAGCAGAATGAACCCCGTGCGCCCCCACACAGCCTCAGCGGCCGTGGGCTCAGACTCTGCTGCGTGTCCACCTCCCTCCGCTGTTTCTCTTACCTTTGGGGGCAGGTTGGTGGGGGCTGGGTGTTTGCAAGCAGATCCGTTTCCCTTGTGAATTCTAGGGGATGTGTTGCTGACGCATGAGAACTTTAAGCGTAACTCAGAGACCGTTAAGCGTTTCTTTCCGGGGCTGTGTTCAGTTTCCCCTGGAGAAGAACGCCATAAAGTCTTCCCGTCGAAGAACGCCCTCCTATGGTCCGTGTGTTCTAATCTGCGACCAGAGTGTGCTGTGTCCTGTGGGTGGGTGCTGGGCAGGGGGAGACAGGAGCTGGAGGGGGCAGAAGGGGAGGGGGCTGGGACGGTGGGCTGGGGCTGGGGGTGCAGGGGGGCCCTGGGGGCGCGGCAGGGGGCAGGAGCACACAGGCTGGGGGAGAGCTGGCTCAGGTGCTCCCTGCTCTCCTGACAGCACCTCTACGGGGAGCACCTGCTGCTGTGCGTGCGGACTCTGGTCTCCGTGTGCCGCGAAGACTGCAGACGGTGCAGCTTACAGCTCTTGGAGGTGCTGGTGACCATAGAGGCGCTCTGGGGTGCCACAGGCCTCGGCGACAAGGTGAGGCGGCGCGGGGGACGGAGCTTATGCTGAGGAGGGTGCTCGGGCTTGCCTGGCTCGGCTGACCGGAAGCGTGGAAGGGCGTGTGGGACGGGTTGCTCGTGAGGCAGCCTCGGGGACGCAGGGAATTTCAGATTCCCTCCAACTGCCGCCTGTCGTTGTGTCTCAGGGGTGACAGCTGCAGACAGACAGGCGGACACGTGTAACCTCGCCTCCGTCTGTGGTAAACACGTAGGTGACTGACCGTCTAGAGAGAAAATAGCATCGTGTTTCCTGTTTAATCACAGGCCAGCTTTGCAGAACTACTTCTGTTCTCTCAGCTCTGGGTCTAGGCTTTAAATGCTCTACTGACGTCCAGTTCCCCTTGGGCTCCAGGGACCTTTTGGGGGGTGTCTTCCTCCTACAGCCGTGCACAGATCTCTGGGGCTCACCTATGGAGGAGGCGTGCCGGGGAGGCTCACAGAGCCACAGGCCCCGTGTCCAGGAAGCCCCCCGCCCTCCCCTTCCTTTCTTGGGCATCTGAATTTTGTTTTCTTTCGTTTAAAGACAACCTTTCCACTTTTCCCAAGGGCACATACCTCAGCAGGCGGCTTGTCACCTTAAAGCCACACACACTAGCAAGAGCCGAATCCACGTACCTGGGACCCATGGGAAGGAAACCGAGCAGCCGCCAGGTTGTAGGCACAGGCTGCTGGGAGGTGGCTGCCGGCCCATCTCCTGTCCCCTGGCCCACTGTCACCTCTGTCACCAGTGTCACCACCGGAAGGCCTGGTCACAGGGTGGCCTCGGGCAAGCATAGTTTATGTCCCTCAGTTCAGTGCCCTGCAGCCCCCAGGTGCCCTTGTTCCTCACAGATCGAGCTCTCCCACCGCAGGGGGCCTGAGGACCCCAGGAGAAGCCTTGTGCAGCCTGGGGGCACGGCAGCTGAATCTCTCATAAATGCAAGTCTATTATTTGTCGTCCAGATGGCGCCGACCCAGCGTGAACAGTAGCCGTCAGACGAGCCCCTGCAGTCCTAGCCCCCGCGGGCGCTCCAGGGGCTCTGTCGTGTCGCGCATCCTCCGCGGTGGAGGTGGAGCGCTCGCGGTCGGCCGGGTCGTCCTAGCCCGTCGTGTGACAGAGCGCGCTCTGATGATGACGATTGGTCTCTCCTGGGCTTTTGAGCCTTAGGAGTGGGGTTTCCCCAGCCAGTGACTCGTATTTCCAGGTCCGGGAGACCATGGACGCGCTGGCCACGGCACAGGACATCGACGGACGCCAGGATCTGTACCGAGAGCACACGGGCCCCCTCGTGGAGTGGCTGGCCGCGTCGCACCACGACTGGACCGTCCACTCAGCAGAGCTTCTGCAGTTCGTCGTGGTGGTCAACCACGCAGGTGAGCTCCCAAAACTGTGTAATGTGGCCCTTGAAAGTCTGCCCGGCAGGGGCACCTGGGTGGCTCGGGTCATGATCTCACGGTTTGTGAGTTCGAGCCCCACATCAGGCTCTGTGCTGACAGCTCAGAGCCTGGAGCTGCTTCGGCTTGTGTGTGTCTATGTGTGTGTCTCTCTCTCTGCCCCTCCCCCCCGAAGTAAACAAAAACGTGAAGAAAAGAAAGTCTGCCAGGCATACGGTGTTTACGTTAAGCCTCGGAGGTGTGCTTATTGTGGCCTTGGGCGCAGTGTGTTCTTTGCACAGTCCACAGTGTCCCTGCAGAGCCTCACGCGTGGCGTGGGCCTCTGTGGTCCAGTGTCTCCAGGCCCTTCCCCGCCGGGCCGCGGGGTGGGTGAAAGAATGTTCCTTAGGCAGAGCTTATGCTCAGACCCGTGCCTTCTCCCTGCCTCGGGACGTCCGTAGAGGTCTCACCGGACAGATTTCGTTTTAAAAGATGAGTCTTAAAAAAAAAAAAAGATCATAGACTCTGAACAGCAGCTCCCTCCCCAGCTTAGAAAACAGCCAGAGGCCGCGTCCCAAGGCTCCGGAACCGAAAACCTGTGCACCCTTGAGGCCGGCCAATCAGGAAGAGGGGACGTGGCCTCGGTGCGCTTTTCCAAGTGCTTTCTCAGAGTGTCGATGGTGTGTTTCTCCGTCCTGTGTCCGGAAGCGTCCTGCTTCACACGCGCTGTGCTCGGGCGGCGTTCATCGCCAGGTGCCCGCACCCCACGCGGCGCCGTCCCACTGAGAGCACGCCGCTGCGCCCCCGGGTCTGTTCGGTGTCGGCATTCTTCCCGTAGGATGCTCCCGTTTACGTGTCTCATTACGCCGTCAGCCGTGACAGACACCCTGCTGTCTGGAGGAGACTTTGTTTTTATAGAGCGCGTTCAACAGACTGGACTTGTTCAAAATGGCGTTTGGTGCCTGGATAGCATTGAGGGGACAGTGATGCACGTGAGCGGAAAGAGTCTTTATAGGAAGGGCCGGAAGATGCTCCCGGAAACCCCTCTCTCCTCTTGCCCGTGCGCTCTGTCTTCCGTGAAAATGCGGCCTTGGGAGATCGGGGTCTCTTCCCGGAAGATCGCTCCCTCCTCCTGCAGTGAGAGGTCTGGGGCTCCATCTTCTGTGCAATCTCCAAGGAAAACAAACCCCAGAGGGTGTGAGCAGACCCGGTGCCCACCGGTGCTGGCAGTGTCCTGCCCCTGGGCCACGTCCTCCTTCTGCCTTTGTTTCTCTTTCTCCCCCAGACCCACACCTGCCCTGAGATTAATGCGCAGCCTTGCGTTTCCGTCTTGCAGCTTTGACGCCGAGCGTGAGACAATGCATCTGGGCCTTGCCGTGGGACGAGCAAGCGCGTTGTGAGCAGGGTGGTTGGGAGAGGGCCCGCCTGGAGGGGAGGGCGCTCCGTGACCCGGGTCCGTGCAACCCGAGCGCGTGTTTGCACCCCAGGGACTCTTTATTCCGATCACGACTCGATGCCCTTCCAGATACTAAGGCTCGTTGCCCGTGTGTGAGGCCCACGGTCCCGGGGAAGCCGCGCAGGCGCCTGTCCAGCAGCAGCTCGGGAAGGGCGGTGGCTGCCGAGTGTAGGGGCAAATATTAAACACTGTACGTGTTCTGAATAATTTATCTTGGTTGATATTTAAAGTGTTGCTTGACTGTAACGTTTTTTTTTTAAGAATCTGAGAAAACATGAGGAAATAGAAAGTCACCGTGTTGAACAATTAGCACGATTTGGGAGTTAAGTGTTTGCTTTTACAGGGACACCCTCGATCCAGAAAGGAGAGGAAGGTGGTGGACGGGCCGTAACCGCCCCTGTGCCCACGGCCCCTCCCCGGCACCCGGCGCCGACCCGGCGGCGGGGTGGGGGCTGCGTCGTCCCACGGGCAGGAGCCGTGGGAACCGTGAGCTGTGTGTTTTCCAGGCCCGGCGCTGGGAGAAGTGCTCCCCCACCTGGTGCCCGTCCTCAGGAGCTGCCTCCAGCCCGCCCGGGACCCGCAGATGCGCCTGCGGCTCTTCTCCTCCCTGTCGCGGGTGCTGCTGAGCGCAAAGCAGACTGTCGACTCCCAGGGGTAGGTGTGCCCGGCCTCCAGCCTCTGCGGGTGCTCTCAGGTGGGAGCTGGGGTCACCCCGGGCTCTGGCGCCGGCCGCGGGAGCGAGCACCCGCCCGGACAGGCACGGAGTCCACGTCGTTTCCACGTGGCCATTAAAATTCCATCGAACGAAGAGGTTGTAGGGAACATGAACTGTTAATGGTTTATACGTTAGCTATTCTCAGTTTTAAATGCCTTTGGTACCTTTGAAGCCTAACAGAGAATGGGCTGAATCCCCTTAGTGGCTAAAGCGTGAGGAAAACCCTGTTGCCAGCAAGGACTTAGGACAGTAAACCCGTGACGGGCCGGCGGCAGACCCTGGCTGGTTGGGCGCCACGTGGGTGCACCTCGCCCCCGGCCCCCAGCGGCTGGGTGGGCGGTAAGGCATGTGGGGACCCTGTCCCTTCAGAAGGAGCGCGTCCTGCCATGTCACGAGTGTGCTGGGACCTTTCCCTGGGGCCCCTCCTCTCCCCGGGCTCTGCCGGCCCGTCCGCGGGCAGGGAATCCTGTCTGCTGCTCGTCTGCCCGAGCTTCCAGCCTACAAGGGCCATAAAGAGACGATGTTGGCCCGCAGGCCTCCCGGCAGGGGAGCTTCCCGTGGATAAGCCGCAAGGGCGCGGGCCAGCTGGCGCCTCACAGCCCGTGCTCCCCCACGACCTCGCTAGGGGCCTCAACAAGCCCCCGGGCACGGGGCGCCCTGTGGATGCACTGCCAACCCTCTTCTGCCAGAACGTGTTCGCCGGCCGCCCGCGGGTCCCGACCTGAGGCCGAGGTGGCCGAACACGGGCGCTGGTCGGCTGCCCTGGGTCCTTGGCCTCACGATGTCCTACCGAAGCGCCAAGTCGGGCTCCTCAGTTTGAGGAGGTGCTGTTTTGGGGACCCTCCGTGGACGGGTTGCTCCCTCCACAGAGCGCCCCCAGCGTGGGCCCTTGGTGCCGGCCCCCACCTGTCCCGGGTTTGGTCATTGCTCTTGGTGGTCCCTGCACCCCCAATCCCGTGGCCTCTGCTCCCCGGGGCGTCTGTGGAGACGCGACAGACCTTGCTGGCCACCACCTGGGCTCTGCCCGCTCCTGGAGGTCGACTGGGGACTGGGGGAGGGGCGCCAGCAGCGGTAGGAGGTCTGTCTTCAGACCCCAGCGGGGACCTTGCTTTGCGCCATGGAGCTGCTCCACAAAGTCAGGCCCTGGGCCGCTGCCCGTCTCCCGCGGCAGAGTGGCAGCCTGGCCAGCACGCGGTCCTTGTTTTCCAGCCACGTCACCTGACGCCTCAGAGGACAGGACCGTTGGGTCTTTCCACAGAGCCCCCTCGTAAATCATTTTGCGGGAAACAGCAGCCCTTTGTGTAAAAACTAAAGCACGTCGAAAACCTGATTGTGTGAGTGCGTGTGTGTGCAAGTCCAGAACCAGATTTGCCGCGTACCTACGTCTCTGGCTCTTGGATGCCCCCTGCTGGAAGCAAGCAGGGGGAGCCTTCCCCAGAAGGGACAGTCCCCGAGTGAGGGTCCGGGCAGCGGAGAGGGACAGAAGCAGAGGCCGGAGGGCAGGGTGCAGGGAGAGCCTCGGTGCCACGCGGCTCTGGCCTCGCCTTGGAGGCTACTGCACCTTTTCGGTATTCCGGAACAGCTGGTATTTGAGACGTGAGCCACCTTTGAAATACACTTTGGAATAAGGTTCAGAAGTAAGTTGATGAATTACTCGTTCAAGCGAACGTGTTTCGGTCTAATGGTGGCAGCGCAGTGGGATTCGCGAGGACGCTCAGGGTTTTCTCTGGGTGCCTCTCAACGGGGTGCTCAGAGTGTGGCTCCGCAGCACGAGCCGCCCGGCACGGCGGGATGTGTGAGTTTACATCCACACCAAGTGCCCAGACTGCTGGCAGGAACGTCCACGTCTCTGTGACCGTGGCGCTCGGGCCCTGGGTGCGGAGGGGGGGAGCGTGCCCACGGGGGGGTGTCGGGTGTGCGTGCGTAGGATGGCCACACGTGCAAATGACGTTGCTGGCCTGGTTGATGTGCCCGGTGACCTCGCGTCTCCTCTTTTAGAGCCCAGCAGAGATGGGCGGGGCCCCCCACAGCCTCACCCCTGCAGAGGGGGGGTGGGGTGCTCTGGAGGCTGCAGGCCCAGCAGAGGCCAGCAGGAGCTGGGTAGGCCGCTGGCTCTCCCCCAGGCACCCGCTCCCCTGCAGGGAGGGCGCCCGCCCCAGGGAGGCAGCCGTCCTCCTATTCCGGCTCCCCTCTGCCCCGCGCGCTCCCCTTCACCTGCTGTCTCGTGGCTCCACCCCAGGCACTTTCACCACTACCTCGACGCTGTGACGAAGGACATCTTGGTCCCCAATCTGCAGTGGCACGCAGGGAAGACGGCTGCAGCCATCCGCACGGCAGCCGTGTCCTGCCTCTGGGCACTCATCAGCAGTGAGGTCCTGTCGGACGAGCAGGTGGGGCTCCCAAGGACGCCTGCCGGGGGGAGGGGGGGGGGACACACGTGTAGCCGCCAAACACTGCTTTCTGAAACCCACAGGGGAGGGAGCCTGGGGGCCGCGGGCGAGGGCAGGGTACCACCGGCCATCGTGACCCGTAGCATTTTGTTTTGATCAGCTGGGGCTGCCGTTAGGTGTATGTATCGAACGTGGCTCTTTACGGAGCAGAGAACGCAGAGAACATATGCACAGAACTCTACCTGAGCTTGGCCGATCTCGGGGTTTCTGCGCTACTATCACTCCACCTGCGCAACGGGATCAGGGAAACGGGGGGCGAGGGGCAGCTGTCCGAAGGCCTTGCTGTTGCTCTGCGCTCGGCCCCAGGTCTGCAGGCATCCGGCCAGGTGTTCATCTAGTGTGTGAGCTCCACCTCCTGGTCCACTGAACCGCCATGAGTTTTTTTTTAAGTAGGTTTTGTTTTATTGATTTATTTAAACTTAAATCCAAGTTAGTTAACATGTAGCGTAATAGTAATTTCAGGAATAGAACTTAGCAATTTATCACTTACGTATCACACCCGGTGTTTGTCCCAACGAGTGCCCTCCTTAACGTCCCCTCGCCCATTTAGCCCATCCCCCCACCCAACACCCCGCCAGCAACCCTCAGTTTGTTCTCTATATTTAAGAGTCTCTTACAGTTTGCCTCCCTCTCTGTTTTTATCTTGTTTTTCCTTCCGTTCTTCTATGTTCATTTGTTTTTTAAATTCCACACGAGTGAAATCGTGTGATACTTGTCTTTCTCTGGCTGCCTTATTTCGCTTAGCATGATACGTCTAGTTCCATCCACGTTGTTGCAAATGTGAACCACCATGATTTGAGTTAAAACGTCCCCCAAATTGTATGGACACAACATGCAGCCACGCTAGCAAGGAGCAGGCTGTAGGCTTGTCTTCACGGCTTTGTGAGTGATGGGCTTGTCCACTGACCAAGTTAAACAAAACTGTTCAACTGTTCATCTAGGTTTTATTTCTTTTTTAGTGTTTATTTATTTTTGAGAGAGAGAGACAGAATGCGAGCAGGGGAGGGGCAGAGAGAGAGGGAGACACAGCATCAGAAGCAGGCTCCAGGCTCTGAGCTGTCAGCACAGAGCCTGACATGGGGCTTGAACTTGAAAACCACGAGATCGTGACGTGAACTGAAGTCGAAGTCAGACGCTTAACCGACTGAGCCCCCCAGACGCCCTAAGTCATCTAGATTTTAAAATCAAGGTTTGAGTTCTCACATAAAAATTTTAAAAACATTCCAGACTCCTTTATATCTGTACGAGAGCCAAGCTCCTTCCATCATGGGCAGCGTGTGCACAGTGAGGGACCAGCGCTGTCACCTCCGGGACAGAGCCGATCAGGACCCTCCTCTGTCTTCCGATTACAGATCCGGAAAGTTCAGGAGACGCTGATGCCGCAGATTCTAACCTCCCTGGAAGAAGATTCCCAGATGACTCGATTAATTTCGTGCCAAATCATCAACACATTTCTAAAGACCTCCGGTGGTGTGGCTGATGCCGATAAGCTCATCAAGGTTTATCCTGGTACGATGCTTTTCTTTCCCAAACTGTGTGGGTCTGTTTCTTCTAGAGGGAGATGGAAGCTGGTACTTGGACTTCCGGTCGGCCTGGTGCCAGGAGTCCAGACGCAGCCGTGACCGGTGAGCCGTCACTGAAGAGAGAGCGAGGCAGGCAGCCCGTGCCCAGGCAGTGGGGCCCCGCACCCCCACCCCAGAGCAGGCGCTGCGGCCAGGCCAGGGTGCGAGGACGGGCGCGGCGAGAGCTTCTGCGGCGGCCGTGCCTTCCGTCCCGCGTCTCCGCCTCTTTGGAGCCCCAGCACCGGGCGAGTCCCAGATCAGAAGCAGAGGAACAACCCCCACCCCGGCCCTGAGCAGAGTAGCAAACGCAGAGGATTCCTAAGAACACAGAGAAAACCGCGTTGAGGAGGAGAACAAGGATCCCAACGCTGCAGGGATAGATGTTCTAGAGCCCAGCTCAGAGCTCAGACAAAAATGCAAACGGGACGAAGCTGCAGATGAGAAGGAGCCCGGCAGACGCTCTAGGCTTGTGCACGCCAACTGGAGGGAGGGTCCTGAGGAGGAGGAAGAGGTAGAGGAGGTGGAGGAGGAGGAGGAGGGGGCGGTCAGCCTCAGGTGGGGCGTGCAACGTCTGTGGGCGCACCTGTGGCTGGTCTCCACGGCCCGTCATAGCCACACTGGGCTGTCCTCTGTGCCGCAGCATTTAGCTGATGTAGTGATTCCTAAAAGGTGGTTTTCAGGAGTCCCAGAAATGAAAAGTCCCTGAAGTTCAGAGCTGGAGCCACTGGGTGCACAAGACGGAGCGTGGTGGGGACGGGATTCGTGAGCGGAGTCCACTCGGGACGCCGTGAGAGGAAGACACGCGTCTGCGGGGAGAGGGGCTCCAGCGCTCCCAGCTCCGGGGGGAGGGATGGATGGCTGATACCGGCAGAGGTGGTGGCTCAGAATATTCCGGAACTGCAGGTGGTGCATCTTGATGCTGAGCAGGAAGCCGCCTGCTGAAATCCAGAGTTGAAGTCCCCTTTCTCACGCATTCTTGCAAGTTTCTTTTCACTTTTTGTGTTTACTTTTGTGACAACAAACACCGTATTCCTCCCGGCGACCCTTACAGTTCTGTTTGCGCCAAGTCAGTTGGTGACTGTCAGAGTCCCTTGGGATTTTGCTCACGTCTAAAAAGAGCCAGCGAAAAGATTGCACATATCTGGGCTTTGGGGGTTGTTTTCATGCAAAAGGATTTCCTCGCGGGCTTCTTTCTCGGGACCAGTTCAGGGCCCTGGGTGGCGATGTGTTTGCAGAGGGCAGGACGCCCCGAGGTCTGTCGTATGGAGGATGCATGTGCACCCAGCACGGGCCCCAAGAGAGCCACCCTTTGTTCCAAGCCCACAGTTGCACGTGACGGCTGACCCCAATCACAAAAGTGAATTTCCAGGCCACTTCTTAAAACTCGGGAATTACCGTCAGAGGAAAACACGCCATGCCAGAGTCGGCCTGAGCCGGAGGGAGTGAGGACATGGGAGGAGTCCCTGCGGGACTCGGGTGGTGGTGTGCCCACCAGGCCGCCGTCCCAGGACTGGGTGAGGCCCAGACCCTTAGGAAAGCCCTTCTGCCATGAGCTAGTGCCCGGCAGGAGGCCGCAGTGCCACGAGCCCACAGCCCTGCCTGCTCACTTCCGGGGGCCGGGCCTCCCACCACCTGGGGCTGCAGCCCTGCTCCCTACCCCCGGCTACCTCTTGCCCTGCTCACGGAGTGCCCGAGCGACTGCTGAGTCTCCAGAGACACCCAGCCACAGGGCCAGGGATTTCTCACAGTTTGGGGGAGAAAAGTATACATTTGATAAAAACCTCAGCAGTGAATGGTGAGTTTCTGCTAACTGGAGAGGTGGTTCCTGTTTTCAGCAGCCGAGTGGTCTGGCTCAGAGCTCAGCAGAAACAACACTGATACAGGTGGTGGTGATCATGTCACTGGGGCCCGAGCTCTGTCCCTAGAGCCCAGTTGGGAGGGCGGTGTGTACATCCAGGGGACGGGCAGCCAGGGTGTGATGCCCATGGTGACAGACGGAGCATCTTGGAGCCACAGAGAGCCCGGGGCACCTGGCAGGTGAGACAGGGAGAGCAGCTCAGGCCTGCCCACCCCTCCTCCCACCCGGCCCAGGGTCCACCCTGTGGCCAGTGCGGTCAAGGGGTCCGGCACACTGGGAGCCGCCCCCAGCCCCTGGCACACGAGCACCAGTCTCCCCACAGGATGGGTTTACCATGGCCCGAGGGCGAGTGCCCCAGGGGTGGGGTCAGGTCCCCACTCTGGAAGCTCCAGTGCTCCGTCTGTGCCGGCCTCTGTCTCACTGTCACATCCGGCCCTCCCTCCAGAGCTCCTGAAGCGTCTGGACGACGTCTCCCACGAAGTGAGGCTCGCGGCCACCTCCGCCTTGGTCACGTGGCTGGCGTGTGTCAGAAGCAACGATGACGTGAAGTCCTGCTACCAGAGCCACATTCAGTTCCTGTACAGAGAGCTCCTCGTGTACCTCGATGACCCGGACAGCACTGTCCAGGATGCGGTTTTAGGTAGGAGTCTCCACCACGTGTGCTGCATTGTGAAGGCTGTCCCCAGAGCGTAGACGCGGCTCCTCACAGCCGAGTCATGGGCTGGCCACATGAGGGCGGGGGGGCAGGGCCACGGCCTCAGGGCCTCTGTGGACTGGCCTCCTGGGTGGGTTACAGCCCTCGAAACTTACCACGGTAGAAGTTACAGTGGAGAAAAATCTTAGGTGTCTATTAATTTGTTTAGAATGACTGTAAATCCATCATATATTAACATAATTAATGTGTGGTTTTGAAACGTAGGTTTTCTTTTTTTCTTCTTTTTAAAACTTTTTTAGTGTCTATTTCTTTAGTGTCTTTCTTTGAGAAAGAGAGCTGGCACGGAGGAGGGCGTAGAGAGAGAGGGAGACCCCGAATCCAAAGCAGGTTCCAGGTTCTGAGTTGTCAGCACAAAGCCCAACGCAGGGCTTGAACCCACGAACCGTGAGAACATGACCTGAGCCGAAGTCGGAAGCCGAACCGACAGAGCCCCAGGTGCCCCTGGAAGATGTATTTTCTAAAAACAATAACACGCAGACAGGGGAGCGTCGCTTTACCTTTCCGCGCGTCTCGGTAGAAGCAGCTGGGCGTTTGCGGCTTCCGCGTTCTTGGCCGTGGTGCGTGTTGTCCAGGGAAGCGTGTGAAGGAACCTGGCCCCGGACAGGTACGCTGTCGGAGGCAGGGGTACCCGTTGTGTGTAACCACAGAGATGCCTTCATACCGCCCCGACCTGCCCAGGCGGTCGTTCCAGGGTCCTGCGGGGTTGACTCCGGCTACGTTCTCGCCTGTTGGTTGGTCCTGCACGTTGCCATTTTGTCAGGCCGTGTCCAGAAGTCACGTTTGTCGGCCTCGAGCTCAGAAAAGTCTCGGGAAGAAAAGTTGCAGGAAGCCATTCAGCTGACGGTGTTGGAAACAAGTTACCGTGATTGTGGTTTCCGCTTGAAAGCTTAAATCTTCTCATTGGCCACAAGTACCGTCACTCTGTTCGTTTTTGAGACGGTGTCCTGCCTGGTACCCAAGTGCGAGGAACCTGAGTCTTCGTGCTGTCGTGGAAGCGGCGTCCTGGGGGCCCAGGCACACCCTGCCGTGCCCCCGCCCCACCACACAGGACACTCCGACGGCAGATGCCGCAGAGCAGGGACATCGGGTGTCGTCCCCAGAGCAGCACGAACGGTGTTGTGTCAAGAAGTAGATTTGAATGGAATTCCCAGCGATACTCCAATAACCCAAAGGAAGTCAAGAAAGGAGGCCCGGAAGAACACAGAGACAGGGCCAACCGGAGACAGGGAGACCGGGTGCAGCCTCTGCTGCAGTCTTGTTGAACGTTAACAAGCTGGACGCTCCAGGTGAAAGGCAGACAGTGTCAAGTCAGTGAGATGATCACGACTCAGCTGGGCTGCCTGAGAACTGATCTAACGGAAGAATCTTGACTGCTTTATCGAGGACATTCTTGAGGGAACTTGGCAGCAGAAGGTTCACTGACCCTACAGCTGCCCGCCCTGCTTTGTGTCGCGCAGCGAGTGGGCGGCCTTGTCCGGGGGAGTCCCGGACACAGTTTTGACTCCCAGACCCCTGAGGGCCGTCCCCGGCGGGTGTGGGCGACAGCTGGGCAGTGTCGGGCGGGTGCTGGCAGTGTCGGGCTGGCTCCGCGGCCGTTCCCAGTGCGTGAGCTGGGTCCGGCCGCTTGGCCGGGTCCTCGCAGACCCCACCTCGCTCTCCTCTCTGCCCCCCACCCCCACCGCCGGCGAGAGAGAGAACAGCTGTGTCCATCTTCCCTGGCCTGTAGCCTGGTTGCTGCGGAGGCCAGGGGTCCAGGACCCAGGGGACCAGCGTGTACCCTGTGCGTGTCCTCTGCCTGCCAGAGCTGGCGGGACTCGAAGTGGCAGAGACGTTGGGGCAGGCCGACCGCTCTGCTCCTCTGCTCCTGCACCCTGACCTCGGCGTGCACCCTAACCTGGGTGCTCATGCGACGCCAGCTCTTAGCACATCCCGCCCTTGCTGTCCTGGTGGCCAGCCGGCCGTGTTTAGAGTCCTGAGCTCCAAACGCCCCAATTGCTCTGCTCCAGCAGACCAGGCACGTCTCCTGGAAGACTGGCCTTCCCCCCTGCCGGCCTCCCCTCTGGAGGACTGGCCTTCCCCCCTGCCGGCCTCCCCTCCGGAGGACTGGCTCCCCCTGCCGGCCTCCCCTCCAGACGACTGGTCTTCCCTGCTGCCGGCCTCCCCTCCTGAGGACTGGCTCCCCCTGCCGGCCTCCCCTCCAGACGACTGGTCTTCCCTGCTGCCGGCCTCCCCTCCTGAGGACTGGCTCCCCTTGCCGGCCTCCCCTCAGCACCTCACGCCTGGGGACCTCTTGACCGATGACGGTGCTTCTGTCCCACTGACAAGGCGAAGTTCCTCCATGTCCACTCCCACGGCTGGTCCCGCGTGTCCCCTAACCCCGCCCCC